GCACTTCCCACACACTCCGCTTTCCTCACCTAATGTCTTAACTAACTTCCCACACTCCTCACATCTAACTCGTTCGGTCTCTGGTTCGAGGATGAAATAATTTTCGACGAAATGAACTTTCGACGAAATGAACATTTGATGAAACAAACTTTCGATGAAATGAACATTTGACGAAATGAACATTTGACGAAATGAACTTTTGATGAAATGGGTGTCGACAAAATGATTGTCGACAAAATAAGTAAAACGCGACCGATTAATACTTACTAATGCTAATCAGAATCCTCAAAAGATGATAATAAAGCTAGTGACCTTAGCCGGCTAAGCTGAACAACTCTTAGCCAGCCAAGAACTTAAATAAATCCAGTTGATGAGAAAGCTTTTCAGATGGTACTAAGCTTGCCAGTATATTATTACTCAAACCATTAAAGACAAGATATTATAATAACGATAGTAGTATTAATAGAGTTTATTTGTTTTATTCGTTATGAATTTGAGTATTCGAATTACATTGAAAGTTTATTTGAATAAAACGGATAATTCGAATAATTCGAATAGAACTTTAACTATGACTTTTATCCTGCTATGATGTATTGTTTTTTGCTTTTTGAGCAAAACTGTATGATTTTTTGTCGTTCCGAGTAATGCAGGTAGACCCATCTCAACTAAACGTCTATGTCACTGAATTCCGCACTAAATTCCGGACGTAAAAATGAATGTTAAGATAAATTTTTTTTAGCCAGCTAACATCACTAAATAGAACATTGCCTTCCTTAAAATGTAAAATAAACAATTTATTTTTATAAACAAGTGTTGCTTTCCATTGTAGGTCAAGCAATTACATAATGAAAAATTTTGAGTCACATACAGCTAGAGCAATTTTGTGTCTAAAATCATGGATTCAAAATCAAATCCAATAGTAAATAATGCTTGATTAAAATAAAATGGATTTAATCCTTGTAAAAATTTATTCCGTGATTACACTCAGTGATTTTCCATTTATAATAAACTTCCGTTTTTTTCCATACAAATACCATTATTCATGGAATCTATAATTCAGTTTTTTTCATAATAAACAAGATTTCACTAAAACACTAATTGATGAAATGGAAGAATCCATTGACCATTCATTCACTGACGGATCCTGGATGGACATTGGGTATTTATTAACCATCTAATTACTGAGTTTTTGCTGATTTTTTTTTTGTACTGATTTATTTATTTATTATTTTTTTATTTAAGGCTTTCATGAACTGTATCCCTACTTTTTATAGCTTTTATGAAAAAAACTGAATTTTTATGGAGTGGTAACCGTAATCATGGAGAAATAATGGAATATTCTGGAGTGTCATTTTTTACAGGGTGAGATATTGTTATCACCTTTTGACTTTCATATTTTTTGTATTAGTTGATTGATTTCTCCTTTTGACTTTCCTGTTTCTTCACACTTCATTTGGCTTAATGATCCTTTTTACATTTTCAATTTCTTGCTTTAAGTTTGTTATTTCGTTCAATTGTTAGCACAAGTTTTGGTTTTCACTAACTGAATTTTCATAATTGATTTTTTTCACCGGTTAATTGATGAACTGATCTGTCTTTTTGTTAATTATTATTTTGATATTGGTTGTCCTTCTTCAGGCTTGGTTTTGTTTGAGATTTTTCACTCAAATTTTCTCATTTAAATTTTTGTTCACTTTTTTTCTGCTTTTGCTTTTTTGACTAATAAAAATTGGTTATTAAATTTATTTAAAATGTCAGAAGTTTGATGCTATGAAGAATAACATACGGAAAAGGTATACTAATACT